GAGAAGAACACATAAACTTGATTTACAATTACAGAATGAAGCAAAATATTCTAACATTGGACATACTGAAGGATATTTTTGAACAATGGACTCAGAAGTTAATTTTAATAGTGTCAACAGAGACATCTGCCTCTATGGAAAGATATGTCTAAAAGATGTTACGGAAGAGGAACAAGTTCTACCTGACAAGTTCAAGAGTTGAAAGTGGATTTACAAACGACAGACTACAAGAATGACATGGAAAAAGTCTGGACATAGGATAGCCACTACCTTGATAAAAATAACAAAACATCTTCATAGCTGAAAAGATGTCTCCCAGACATCATTAAAATCTGAAAAGATTTTCTATTGCTGTCCCCCTTCATGGAAAGCCCAAGTTAATTCAGTGTAAGTTATCAAAGAGTTCATTGCAAAACTCTCAGAAAGCTCTAATATACATGTAAGACAGAAAGACAGAACAAAGTATGTTTAAAGTAACAAAAGATCAGAAATCCCAATAAAACTGAACCTACCAAGAGAAAAGAGAGCCAGTTTGGTGTAATAGTTAAGGCATCAGTCTATAAACGAAGAGACCATAAGTTCTAGTCCTGCCTCAGGCATGGAGCCAGCTGGATGACCTTGGGCCAGTCACTTTCTCTAAGTCCTAGGAAGGAGGCAGGCAATGGCAAACCACTGCTATAATCTTGCCAAGAAAACTGCAGGGACTAGTCCAGATAGTTTGCAGGAGTCAACACTGACTTGAAGGAACAAAGCAAAAAACAACCAAGGAAAAATACATCTGCCCATTTCTCTGAAGTCATTACATCATAATTTCATCTCAATATGGCCTTGAGCATCCAAAAATAATAGTAAAGACAGTGTGTCTGTCTGCCAAAAAACTGTTTACCCATACTTACTGCAATGTGCATATATAAGAATAATCCACACGATCTTAGGATGGAAAACTCCTCCATTCCCTTTTCCTTCTTTATAGTCATATAAGATTTGTAAGATTAAATTTTTTTCCAGACCCACAATTCTGGTTAATAGTAATGATTGTTTTCAAGAACCTTCTGAATTCCTTCTCCCAAATAAAGGTTGGAGAGAGAATGAAGCTTATGGTGACGTGAAACACAACTAATATATATAAATGAATTCTAGCCTCTGAGCACATCACATAAAACATGAACATTTCATTTAATCCTGACACAAATATATATTAAAGAAAAGATTAAGAGCAAGTAAACAAACTGAAGAATGGCACTTGTTCAGCTAGTTCTCTGCTAATTGGTCAGAAACAATTCCCACTAACTACAAAGAAGTTAACTCCAAGCATGAAAAAGATAATAGTCTTTATTTCACGATTTAAATAGCATGCACGAGCCACTGAAGTTGGTGCCCCTTGCACCAAATGGAGAAATTGGAGAAACAGAAAATATATTATTTCTAGTGGCAATTGTTTCTGACCATGACTGGGGCAATTCAGGTTCAAGTATATTCTAGGCCATGGAAACTCATAACTTTGAATCCTATCTACTTCACAATGTTGTTATAAGGATAAATTGAAGGTAGATCTCTGTATACGCTGCCTTGGAGGAAATATGGAGCATAAATCAAACAAAAATAATTCTCTAGTACTGCAATAATTCATTAACTAACTGATTAACTGGTAAATGGGAGAGAAAACCACAGTCAATATGGTACATTGTCTTGTTCATATAACGAGCACCAAAGATTGTCTTCTAGCATTCCCATTTAAACTAAAAGCAAATCTGTTACTTATAAGCATGAAGGCCAGAATTATTGAAAAAGCTTTGGAAAACGTGTTGAAACATATTAACATTTTAAAAGTTTCTCAAGCATTTTGTATTAAAAACAAGGAAAATTTTTAATTTCAAAAGGCGATGTATATTACTTTAGCTGAAATCACAGTGATTTAACTAGAACACAGAAATAGCTCAAAATAGTTGATAGTTATCAGTACTATAAAGGTGCTATTATTAGCTTGCTTATTGATACTCAAAAAGAAAAGGTTGAAGTGGGCAAATCTTAAATATATAATTAAATACAAGTGGTGGTGAGGGTGGGGTTTGCATCTTTCAGGATAATATACTGCTGATTACAGGGCACATACTAAAAAGAGTACCAAAGTTTACTACCTCTAATTTGACGAGTGATATAAAAGTAATCTCTTAAGAAAGATAACATTATTTGCAAATTGAGCAAGAGGACCCCAATGATAGCCATATATAATCAGTTGTCACCTTGCAGCTCAATTAGCCCTCGTGTAAAAACGAGGCATGTAAGGAGAAATGAGGTTTTGACATTATCTCTGCCAGCAAGATAATTACACAGTCTTCATTTAACAGTAGGGCAACACTACTGTAGCAACAAATTAACTCAGCTCCATTTGCAATTCATGGTGTGTTTTCTCATTTAACACCATTTGTCTTACTCCAGTGAATGTTTCCATTAGTTTTATTCAGCACAGCAAAATACTTTATTTTGACTTCAACATTACATCACTAAATCATCATATCTTTATCCCAGTAACTGTAAGCATGCCAACATAAATCTGATTTTTAAAATCTTTTTCTGCAATTTTAATTGAAACTGTTGCAGTATAGTTTACAGCCAATAATAGCAGAACCAGTCCTTTTGAATTTAATCAATACCAGATTCTTTTCACTCTTCATTCATTTCATTGAAATCAAATTGTCATTTCATTATTAATGAAAATAGGTATATCCTAATTAAACTGCAAATAAAACCAACAAAACCAACAAATTTTATTGCTACAGGGCAGTATTAGTTCTGAATCGGTGCTGAGTAAGTGAAAATAGTTCACACATTTGGACAGTCTCATAAAACTCATTCACTCTGCATGCTTCTCTTTATGTAGCTGCCTCTATGATTTAAATTTACAAGTACTATTACTATAAGCAGTTTTCTCTAACATCGTTTTGGAAAGCACACTTTAAGTTTCAAATTCTGATTAGGAACAGAGTCCTGGTTAGCATGAAAGTGCATGTACAGTAATTCAAAACTGTGGTTAATATAATAGATAGAATTACCTATCCTGCTAAATGATGGTAAAGGGCAGTTTGACTGTACTTGTAATAAAGCATTTGAAAAAATCCAAGTCATCCCAGCTGTAGTCAGCAAGATATAAATCAGGAAAACATTACCTGATTTTGCTCACACCTTGATATTATAGCAACAGATAGAAGGGACCTGATTATCACAAGTCATTTCATTCAGGTCTGCTCTAGGACATGTGATTTGAAAGGAAGGAGAGGGCCATAGAATGGAGGAATTAGCAACCTTTCTAACCACTGCCTAACTGCCTATTTCAGAGGAGGATTTTTTTTTTCTGGAATTTTTTGGGGCAGGCCTCAGAGATGCCTTATCCATACCCTCCAACACATTTTTGTGCATTCAGACTCAGCCTACTAACATAGGACATCTCTGCATTAACCAATATGAATTATCTGAACAGGTCTTTGGTACAAGCCTAGTTACATTAGCAACCTTCACATAATTATGGTCAGCTGGAAAACAGCAGTATCAAAATGCAGACCCAAGCATTCTATAATAGCTCATGCAAACACAAATTAAAAGAACTAAAAGTATTAAAGATAAACCTGTTGAAACTTTCTACATTTAAATGTCACCTTTTTCCTACTTAAAATAACCTCTGATAACTATCTGACCCTCTTTAGTTTAGAAAAAAATTAACCTTGTTATATTTCTTGCATTATTTAACACATACGAACTTTGAGACAATGTCAAAGAAAAACAACTGTTTCTCAGATTAATTAAATAGAAGAACAAATGCAATAGACAGTTGATCTATCTAACTGAACTGTACAAGATCTATTTAGCCCATAGTCAAAGAAAGGGTGTCACTTTATGTTACGCAGATCCAAGGTGACTGCTTATATTTTGAACTGCTGGGCTAATTCTAGCCTGAGCAAAAATCTGTCTTTCACTTCATAATTAATTCTCAGTGTCAAAACTGGTAGATGTCCTTTTGGTACCAACCTATTAAGGTTGTTAACTATAATACAACACAGTGTGATTAAACATTATTACTGGCCCGACATTTAGAAAACAGGAAAATGTATAATAAAGGCTTAAGAAAATGACAAGCAATTCCTTAGCAAGTTTTTAAAGCAAGTTGAAAATGATATTCTCACATTAACTGCTGTCAAGAAGATTGGAAGCTGCTTCATAATCTTTTCTTTTTCTTTTCTTTTTTTCTCTTTTTCATTATGAACTATTTTTATCTACTCTATTCCTTTTCAGCATCTGTATGGTTGCTATTTAAAATGTCTTTAATAAAAATTATACATTTTTCTTGAGAACTAGTGGTTAAAATCCGTTCTTAAACAATTCCAATATAAATCGTTGATCTACTGATTTAATTAGTATACATCATGTACTGAAGATCACCCTGTGTACTGTAATTGGTAACATTTTTTTAAAGTCCTAAAGATGCTTTAAAAAATTACAGTCCAAGCAACATTTGTTCCCAGTAAAATGGTAGAAAGCATTATTATATATCAAACATATAGAAAAATAAGTTTGCTGAAATAAGATACAATAATTTTTGCAATAAGTCTTGTCCCTGCAATGTGGATAGAATGGAAGTTGCTTGGGCTTTCAAAACGAAGTCCCTCACCAAGGACTCCAAAGCAAACCTAGCCAACAAGGCACAAGAGAAGTACTTTTATAAATCAGTACTGTAAGTCAGTCTTCATTATTACATCACTAATTGGTAAACAAGAGAAAGCAGAGAGTAGAAATAAATTAACAGTTCTGAGAAGTCACTCAGTGGAGGAAGGTAAACAGCTGGATTCCTGAAGTTTCTCTAATGGGACCAGTGCTTTTTAATATATACATAAATGAATCTGAATTAGGGATGAACAGTGAAATGTCCTGACAAGAACAACTTCTCTCTCTCTCCCTCCCTCCCTCCCTCTCCCTCTCATGGAGGAATTAACATTGGCAAATGGAGTGCAAAGAAAGCAAGTGTAAAATAATACATATTAGGGTAACAACTACATACATGAGACCTCAGCTGCCAATTATACATCAGAAAAGGGATTATAGGATGGTAGTGAACTGACCAGCATGCACTCCTTCCAATGAGAACATTTAAGTTCATGGAAAAATTAATGAAAGAACATGCTCCAATAATAGGATTGAGTTTCTAAAGCCAGTGGAAAACCATCCTTGTGGGGGGAGGGGGAGGGTACAGCTTTACAATGGAAGCTCTGAAAGTTGAAATCATGTGTAAAATTGGGACAATATTCAGTACCTGAGATGGTCTCAATAGTTACAGACATTCTATAGCATAGTTAGCCTGTGCCTCAAATTACAGAATACAGGTTCAATACAGATTCCTATCTATCTATCTATCTATCTATCTATCTATCTATCTATCTATCTATCTACCTACCTACCTACCTACCTACCTACCTACCTACCTACCTACCTATATCCATTCCAACTGCTGATAATTCTGAGTGGTATTCATATCCAATGTAAATTTGTTAAAAAATAACAGAATTGCAATACAAAAATCAAAGTACATCTACAGTACATATATAAATACTGGCAATACAAATAACACTAAACAAGTACTCCAAAGCCAGAGAAAAAAACATTAAAATCCCCAAGGTGTGCTGGAACAGCCAAGTTTTAATTGTCTCTCTACAAATTAGGATAGGAGCCATTGAGAATCAAATGGAATTACCTTGGAATCTGATGACTTCTGAACCCAAAGCCATTCTTGTCTTGTAGGGGTTGGGTTCTAAGCCTTTTTCTCCCTGTCCAGGCTCTAATAGCCTCCAAGCACCGCAACAGCACTTTAGTACTGTATCACCTATTCAGCCCAGGATTGGAGATGTAAAATTGAGTATTATTTACATTCTAATTATACTTGACCCTAGGTGACCTTTCCCAATGGCTTCATGTAGATATTAATAGGAGCAGGGAGTGTTGAGCTTTGAAGCATCATACAATGGAGGATGAGCTTACAGCTCAATCTCTCCATCCCTATCACCATTGAATATAACTGCCTCTTTAGGAAGGAGTAACCACTGTAAATCAGTGCCTCAAACTCTTCTAATGTAACTAGGCTTATTTTATAGTACCAAAGACGACTTCTACCTAATATCAGAACTCAAGATTATCTAATAAAGTTGAATGGTGAGAGATTCAGAACCACAGCAAATTGCTGAATGATGAAATTTGCTTCCATATGATGTAGGATAGCTACCAACTTTGATGTCTTCAAAAGGAAAGACCGGAGCATTACAAATGACTATTAATTATGACAACATATTATCTCAAGTATCAGAGGTAATAAACCTCTGAAGAGCAGTTGTTGAGAACACAAGTGGAGAGTTCTATGCCATGCTTGTCATCTTCTCATACAATTCTGTGAAAGATATTCTCTTGTTTATTGCATATCTTTGTCAATAAATGTTATCAAAGCTTGATGTGGGTTTTACTGATATTGAGTGAAAAATAACTCAAAGTTTAGTGCTTGTTTCATTTATTTCAGAGACAATATTCTGACTTGCAATGTGCCAGTAAGAAAAAAAATATGTCCCCATTCATTCATTCAGTCAATTCAATTAAATGGATAACTAGGGCTAGTTGTGTGAGTTCTTCATTTAGCAATATGGGCTGATTTGTACAAGCCCTGTCCTATATAAATCTCACAAGGTTCCCCTGTACACAATGAAGTTTTCACCACAAAGATTCTAGAAATCTTGTCTAGAAATTAAATTATTTAAAAATTCATTGATGCCTATCAATCTAGAAAAGGTTACATAAACATTTCTAAAACTCCAGGGCTCCACCAATCCATGGTTAAGAGACTTGTCTTGAAATGGAGAAAACTTCAGGCAATAGTGATTCTTCCCAAATGTAGTCATTTTATCAAAATCATTCCAGGAGTGCAGCATAAAATCACTCAGGACATCGAAAAAACTCCAGAACATCCAGGGATCTGCAGACCTCACTTGCCTTAGTTATAATCAGTGTTTCTGACTCCACTGTCAGAAAAGCACTGGATAAAAATGAGATTCATGAGAGATCAGCAAGGTGGAAGGCATTACTAAGAACAACAGTGATGATCATCTCACATTTGATTCTCCAGATTCCTGGAGGAAAGTTTTATGGAATGATGAGTCAAAAAGTCTGCGACTTTTATGTCTGGCAGAAATGAAAGACTGCATTCTACAATATGAGCCTCATACCAACTTGTCAAGTGTGAAGAAGATATTGTCATGGTTTGGGGATGATTTGCTGCCTCAGGACCTGGATATGTTGCCATCACTGAAGGAAGCATGAATTCTGCTTTGTGTCAGAGAATTCTACAGGAGAGTATCGGGCCATCTGTCCGTCAGCTGAAGCTGAAGTGCAAGTGGATCATGCAGCAAGACAATGATCCCAATCATACAAGCAAGTCTACAAGAGAATGGATGAAGAAGAACAAATTCAATGTTTTGGAATGGCCAAGTAAAACTCCAGACCTAAACCCCACAGAAATTTTGCATCAAGATCTGAAACAAGCAGTTCATGCTAGAAAACCTCAAATGTTACTGAAGTAGTAGACCAGCAATCTGAGAATCTGATCATCAATTACAGGAAATGGACAGTTGCAGTTAGTGCAGCTAATGGTAATACAACCAGTTACACAATGTTTTTTAACATTGACACACTGCATGTTGAATGACTGTTTATGGAATAAAAGAAACAAGCACCAAATGTTGATGACATTTGTTCTCTTAAACTCTCTCTCTATATTAGTATAACCTACATTAATTTCTGATAACTTTCAGCACCAAAGACATGCAAATGCTCAGAACATCTGAAAGGTGACAAATGGCATCCAGTTATTGTGTCAGGAATGTTCAACATTTTATTTTTATTTATTTTACAATATTTATAACCTGTCTCAATCTTGATCAACTCTGGGCAAGAAACGAACATGGAAAATGAATATAAACAATTAAAATTATATCATTATAATAAAAATCATTATTAAAATCACAGGCACCCTTACAGTAAACTAATCTAAGCATGTACAAACATGTACTGGAACAAAACTGCTTTGATTGTTTATGAAGTGCCAGCAGAGACATCTGGACCTCCAGTGAGTGAGTATTTCATAAAGTGGGAGCCACCACTGAGAAGGTCTGTTGCCTGATCCTCATCCAATGCACTCTATGAGAAGGGAGGGCCTGCAACGTTCCCCTTTTCAATGTAGGTTTAATTCTGGTAAGACATTTCCTGATACTTCCAGTACTGCATAAATATTACACAGATCTTATATAGTATAGTATGGCTTTTCTTACACTCATGCCTAGAGCAGACCGTTGGTTCACTGAAAATAGGGATGAAATTTTTCATGGGTCCACTGATGTTCTATCAAAATTAATGCTGAATCTACAGTTACAAGTGGATTGACAAAAACTTTACTCAGTGACAATGTAAGTAATGTACAGTGTAAGCATTTCAATTGAAAGCATTCTTATTTGCAAGAAAATCTAACTGAAATCAATAGGACTTCTTTTTGAGTAAACAATGACTGCAACTGCTGATTCTGAATGAGCAACAATAAAATTAGGAGGACAGAAGTAATTGGTGGATCATAGTTTCTAGAGCATAAATCTCAAATGATAGATTTTTGAAGTGATTGGCAATGGTTTAATGAGAATTCAATTAACAGATATCAAGGGAACATAAAATAAATAATTTATGTTCATGTGGTGAATACTGGTTACTCTACCATGTACAGTCAGACCTCCCCTCCCCCTTGGTTTAAAATAAAATATGGTATAAATAACTGTATAAAAAAGTCAATTTATACAGCCAACAAATATGTAAATAAATAATTCTACCATTCAGGCTGAAAGATATCAAGCATTCAGAGCGGATATTCCTAGATTTATTTTTATTGAACTGCAGTGATCCAAATACATTCACATCATGAAGTAATTCCTTTTGAATTAAATGAATTCTATTATAATGGAATGACTGAGAGACTTGAAAGAACTGCTTACAAATGCACATGGGGGGCGGGGGACAACTGCTAAGTCTAAATTAAGATGTCGGCTATGAAGTTTCCAATAGGACCTTGACATGACTGTTGACCTACTCATGACATGATCACACCAATAAGGATTTGGAATTCTATTAGTATTACCAGAGGAAAAAAGTCAAGGAGTCATCAGGAAAACAAATCTATATCTGCTACTCCATCAGCCAATTACTGTTGTTAAAGTGGAATTAGATGGGTATTGACAATGTGAAGGGGATAAGGATTAAACAGATGACTGAGTATACAACTAGCTACATTGCCATGCTTTGCTGCATAATTTAAAAAAAACCCTGCCTGTGAAAGTAAAAGAGTGTTTCGCATCCAGTATAATATTATGAAGTTCAAAATATCCTTGAAAAAAATAGGTATTTATATAGTATGACAACAGAAGAAAATATACAACTGAATGAATACAGAACTACACTACTGGAATGCACCAACAAAATATTATGCTGTTAATTTGGTAACACAGTTCACTAACAATTACCTAATGCTGTTAGGGATTCTGAGTAATTTTAAATAATTAAGCTTTAAAAATATTCAAGTGATTTCTTTCAGTTGTACTAAGGGATGTCTGGGAGGCATGAACTTAATAGTGGTGAATGCAGTTTCTATTACAGAACATGGACTGCAATACTAAGATGTACAGAAACCAATGCAGGATATTTATTGGATATATTATGTATGTAAAACATTACTCCCAATATGAAGAGACACAATCTGATGTAAAGATGTTGGCAACACACATGTTCCTTAATTTGTTTGCATCTAAACTAAAATTATTATTAGTAAAGTTTTGTTTAGCCTAAAAGAGCAACTGGTTCTTTCAACTGAGACAGGAGGCAAAAAACCAGTATTGTACATGTTCTATAATTCAGCCCTGTGCTAAATAGGCTTTTAAAAAGACAAAGTACAACAGGTTTAGGTAAATCAGCAGCTAGGTTAGAAGCCTGTTTCAATCATCAATGTTTCCTGCCTATCCTGGTTCTCTCCCTGCTATCTTGTAGAAGCATGAGCTGCAACAGATAGGGAGCAATGAAATTACTGGCTGTGTCTGAACAGAATATTAAACAATGCTCCAAAAACCAAAAGTAAGTTGTAGCTTACTTCAGACCAAGAGGATCTGTAGATGTTTGCTGCTTTCATTAAAATTATGAAAGCAGTGGTGTACTGTCACATCACAAATTCTGCCCCTTTGGTATATGCAGGGAACATCATGAAGCATGCACAAGAGGAATGCATCACAATGGCACAACACTGCTTTTCTCATTCTGCCCGCCCCCTTGCCACAGACAGCACTGCCTCAGATATATGTACTGCCCTTCAGCACAGGATATCACCATAAATATAACAATGAATGCAAGCAATTTACACATATGCCATAATTTCGGAAGCCGGTTTCTTTCAGCAAATAACTACAGTGAATTTAGTCCTGTGTTTACACTGAAATAGAAAGAAATGTTTTCAAACTTCATAATTGTCCTAGTGGAAGAGAAGGAAAGGAAGGAGAATCTGAGACTGAAGTTTTCATTCTTTATTACTGTATGTTGGTGTTACATCTGAAAGGGCAGAAGAAATTAAGAGCTATATTTTCATGATCATGCACATGAAACATATTTGGCTAACATATTTGGCTCATTTACCCCCACGATTGAGAACGCTGCTGATTTTGGTTATAGGCAAATTCTTCTTCTGTTGGGAAATCACATTGCATTAGCTAGTATATAAAAATAAGCAATTATCATATATAGGCTTCCAAAGGATGGAACCTTAACTTTTGTCAATAATTTCCTTAGTTTCTTTTTGTACTAAAACAATATTAATTATAACCTTGTCTTTCCTCAATATTTTGTGTTCCAATTGTGTCTTTTCTTCCTTGGGCAGGAAATTTTGTTTTAAAAAAATTACAATGATGAATATAGACTTAATGCATTGGTTCTCAACGGGGGCGGTACCGCCCCAGGGGGCAGTGGGAGGATGCTGAGGGGCGGTGAACTTGTTTTGGGCGGTAGGGGGGCGGTGGGCATGTTTTGGGCGGTAGG